CCTGCTTTTAACGCATCTAGACAAGCTTTCGGGCACCTTTCACTTAAAAAGTTCAACTGGTATTTTGACTTAGAAAAGCAAGATTTCAGCCAGCGTTAGAATTCTAGAATCCGGATGCAAAACCAATGCTCAACGGAAGAGCAAAAATATACTTTTATCTGAAAAAAAACTTAAGATCTGCTGAAACCAGATAAATATAACTACTTGACAGAAAGAGGTGGCAGTAATGAGAATGGTGGTCTCCGACCAAGACGCCGGATACCAAGTCACTTCACCGTCATGCTTTATAAAAAAATCAAATATTTCCGCACATAACAATTTTTCGATCTAAAAAAATCAATAGCTCATGCTGCGATCACACAGGCATCGAAAAACACATTCACTGATTGAAATTTCATCCAGGTAGCAAATTCAGACAATATTGCTGCAAACAAGCAGAAAACACCGGTTTGGATCAAATGCTTTTTTTTCTGCGGTTGCAGTAACAATACCCAACCGAAGACAAAATCCCTCTATTTTCTAATAGAGATATCCTCTTCTCAGAAATTGTTTTTTTTTCTGTTTCGGAACTGCTAAAAAATTTAACTCTAACCTTTTTCCTCAACTACGCCAACCAATAATCCCTCTTTTCCAAGTGAAGTTTGTTTCTTCTGAGCAGAAAAAAAAATATATTTTTCAGTTCTATCAACTGCCCACTTATTTAACTATCTACTGAAGTTGCGATTGCCAGAATTAATTTGAAAATTGAGCAACTTCAAACAAGTTTGTGTGATTATTCAAAAGCGTGTTGCAGAAAGTAAAGAGCTGGCTAATTGATTCTAATTAGAATTCGACCAACTATAACATACTCTGACCATAAAACTTCCCACAGAGATATTTTCGATAAATTTTTCATTTCTTGCTAAGTAAGCACAATACTATTATTTGGCACCGAAAAAAGTTCAAAGCATTCATTTTCAAACCTTAGTGTTTAAGGCACATGTAGGCTAAAATTTGATAAACTAAAAAAACCCATATCAGGGCTTAGAACTAAAACTATGGTAACTTTTCCAGGTGACTATGAGTTTATAATGGATTAATTAATTTCTTATAATTTAATTTTGATATTCAATTTAAAAAGACTAATTGAAATCTTAATTTGGTAAAGAATTGATAATTGTACCGACTTTCGTAACAAAAGTAACGGAATACTTGTGCTCAGGCTGGGTTTTTTCTTAAGACAAATTGCGGCTTTTCAATGTTGACGGAATTTTTTTAAAATTATTCAAAAGGTATTAATATCCTGAGCTTAAATTTGAAAACATATTTTACCTAAGATCATTTTTCATGGAGTTATGGCGGTTTAAGAATGGCCATTTTGGCAAAATTGGGTCGTCAATTAACGCTTAATAGCGCGTAAGCGGAGATTCAATCCATCTTAGAAATCGATCCAAAATGGTTGAAAAAAGCTTATTTGCCAAAATTGATTGGTTACAAGGAGCAAAACTTATCCTTTTGTACTTTATATGTCGTGTGGGTGGATGATTTTCACAAAAAATCTCAAATTTTAGAAAAAAAATTAATTTATTTTATTACATTCAGTTTTTTTATGTTTTTACTGCTCCATAAACCTTAAAAGGCAGTCGGAACACTCAAGTCTTCGCCCTGATACAAGCCATCTTGTTTACTTTCATAACTGATGTTATTTTTCTTAGTTAGAGTATTGCCGCAAGCATGTAGAAAAAAAACGTTCCATTGAGTCAAAAATTGAAACATCGTATGATAAATTTTATAATAAAATTTTAGGGTCAGTCAGCCAAAAAGGGAAATCTAAAAAACAGACAAAGAAGGACTCTTTGGGTCGGCATGGGGTCGAATCGCAGAGGAGGGTGGCGCCCCCCCTAAATCCGCCCCTGTATCTCTGTATAGTTAATGCTTTTTCTTTTCCTTACCTAGCGATATGGTATTTGACATATTTGCTCAAAATCTTTCGTCTTACCCTTAACTCAAGCAGTGGTGGAGGTTTAAAAACGCAACAAGAGAACTTCATATCAAAACACCTCAAAGAAGTGAAAAAACGAACCAACAAGTCAAACACAGCAGCTTAAATTAGGCCATCCCCGAAAAAGAACAAGGCCAACAGCGCCAAAAAAATCGAAAATATTCAAATTACGGCTCACAACTCAGTGCAATTGAAAAGACAAAAATTGATCATTTGAAAAGTCCATGTACAGCTAGAAAACAGTGTTCGGAAAGTTCAAACTTTGTTTAACGTAACAAAAATTAAAAAAATGTAAATTGTTATCAGTAAAAAATTTCAGCTCAATATATTAAGAAACATGTTGACACAAAAAAGAAAACAGAGGGGACGTTGAGCTGCACACTAATTGTGATACAAAAACAGAAAACCTCTAAGTAAAAAAAATCAGTTCTGCACGAAAATTCTCACCACCTGTGTCTTTGACTGAACTCTCAATCTCACACATTTGGCAGGGTAGTTTTTTAGAAATGACGAAAATTTCCAAAAAAAGGTCCCCAAAAGTAATAAAACCTTGACTTTTCTGAGGCTATAGCTTTTTCCAACTTAATTAAGGGCGTACCAGCTTATCCAGCAAAAAAATTAAAAATCTGTTCTTCCAATTGAACCATTAATAATGAATTTGGAATAGCACTTTTTTGAAAGCAGTCAAAAATTTCCGAAAAACAGTCAAAGGTTCAATATGAATTTTACCTAAGCATTAATTTTCTTTTCTTGAAAAAATAGTGCAAAAACGCTAATGCAGGGAGGATGTTCAATTCCTTGATTTCGATTAAGCGTTTGATATCAGATTTGACAGGGTAGTTTTTGTAAAAGTAACAGCTTTGAAAAAACTATCAAAAACTCATATGAATTTGACTATTCTGAGAACTAAACTAGATTTACAGAAAAATGGGAGCGTAAACGCTAATACCGGTAGAATTCCGTAACCAGCTTTTTCGATTGAACCCTTACTTCAAGATATGAGAGGGTAGTTGTCGAGAAAAATGGAAAAAATGTCAAAAAATCACCAAAACTTTCAAAAATGGCTTTTTTGAAGGCATAACATTTTTGTAAGAAAATTAGGACGTAGCGGCTTATTTAGAAGAGATCTCCAAAAAATCTCCTAATCTCCAAAAAAAATTCCAAAACAACGAGTCAAACACTCCCCACGTGAGAATTTTTGAAGACCTTTGAAAGTGGTGCAAGTTGAGAGCGACGATCGAAGTATGCAGACATACAATTTAGTAACCTGTCTTTCATTAGTGCCAATTTTTGTAAAACAGTGAAGAAGTAGTCGAAAAAAATTAAAGCTTCAGCAATCAGTGAAAAAAATAAAAAAAAATTTAAAATCGATTTCACACAGAGGCGAAACGAAGCTTGGCAACACTTGCAATACCACTTAAATAGCACTGCAAGTTAGCAAACAGGAAAAGAAAAGAAGCAACTAAGTGCAAAAAAACGGAAATTTTTTCGAAGAAACCGCAACTGAAAAACTTCAAAATGTTGTCTGGATTGATGCTGTATTTGCAAAAAAAAAACACGTCCATAAACAAATTTGACGGCGTTTAATGAATATTCAAAAACATTTTTTGAGCTAAAAAAGTTATCAAGAAAATAATGTTTTTTTTGAGATCTTTAAGGATTCGTGCGATCCGGAGGAAAGCATAGAAATTATGGTTCCCTCGAACGAATCAATTTTAGGTTAGCAAGCCGATAAAAAATCAGCCGAAATCATTAAGACTGGGAAATATTTTGAGCGAAAAAATGAAAAAGGAAAAAATACGAAGTCAAAGTTAGTAGAATTACAATTTGCAGGAGTAAAGGAACTCTTATAGCAACTACAATGAAAACTGCATCTCGTAAACAACTACAATGAAAACTGCATGCAGCAATTCTAAGATGTGGCAACTAAGCCAACAAACATAAGCAGACAAATGATAGGCAGACATTGTTTTGAAACTGGTTATTTACCTTTTGAAAAAAAAACAGATCCTGTCAGATTTGAACCTACGATCTTTGCTGTCCCAGGCGTATTCGTTACCTCCAGACCAAGTGTGCCACATACGCAGAGAAATTTGGTTTCATTACGAACTGAACCTAAATTTACTATTTCTAATTTTGACCATTCTAAGACCAACGTTATTTTTGGGATAAAAAATTCTGGTACTCGGTTGCAATACCCTCGCTTATCGCAAGGATAATCAATTTGAGCTAAACACATTTTGAAGAGAAAAACTCTGAGATGAAATGGAGCAGATCGATGCTGAAATTCCTGGCGTATTTTTGATTAAAAGTTTTAGTTTGAATAAAAAGTCTCCGAATATCTCCGTTTGAACAACACGAATTAGAAATTTTAACAAGGATAACTAGTTACTGAGCAAGTTCCGACCAGTCTAAAAAATTACAACCAAATTATTTTTCCAATTAGTGTCGTTTTTTTCGGCTTGGCGTGCTAAAAGAATCTGAGCGCAAAAGTAGACCTTAGGCATTTTCGTCAGTCATGTAAAATAGGCAAAATGGAAAACAATTTTTGCAGACAAATAACAAGAAAAACAAAATAAAACTTCAAAAATTATTAAAAATTTTTTTAATAGTTTTCCAAATTTTTCCCCAAATTTTTTGATTCCTTAGATTAGGCTAAAAACTCCAAAAACTAATCTCATTAGAGTAAACTAAATTTTCAAGGCTTAAATTAAGCATAAATAAGCTAAAGTGAGCCTGCTCACTCGCTCGAAATCAGACGAAAAATCAAAAATTTCGAACCGGTTTTTCTCGACACAGATAAAAAATTTTAGAAATTTTTTAAAGCGGTTTGAATCACGACTGAAAGGGCTTTAATATGATATATCACTCAACCCTGTCCGATGATTATTTGTGGTAGCTAATTTTGCGTGGTAGACAAAAAGAAGAAAAAACTAAAACAAACCCGAATACAAAGTTCCTCCCCATTTTCAATGGTCGGAACAAAAAAATAATAATTTCAACACTAATTAGTATTCATCTATGACAAAAATGTCTAATTTTTGAAAGTACAGAGGATATGTCAAATAGACTACAATCAAGATCGCACTAGTGCTGCGCGGCAGAAGCAATAATTTAAAAGAGAATATAAATAGCACTGTTAATATCAGGAACCAATTTTGGCACGTTTTCTTCATTTTCAACTCTAGTTATAACGCTTAAAACTACTTTTTTAATACTTAAGCCAATGTTTTCAAGTTCATCGAGCAAATGCCAAAATAACAATACAATAATACACACAAGACTGTTTTGACATCCGAGGTCAACTAGTTCAAAACAGAAAAATAGATTTGAATTACGTCATTATTGTTTTTTGGATTTCAGTTTTTAAAAAAACTGTAGCGCAAATTTTTTGTTTTGTGCTGTTGTGGGCACCAAATTGCTATTTTTGGAACAATTCTGCAGTGCTAAAATTATCGTTCCTGATCATCGAGAGAATATCATTTACAAAGTTTCAAAAGATTTGAGAGACTCGGAGTTTAAATAAACTTCAGTTTATGTCAATAACTGCTTCTGCTAAATCATCTTCAACTTCTGTATTTATTAGCGATGAAGATGAAACTTTATTGTGTTCTTTTATGATATCAGTGTTTTCTTGTTGCCTATTGCACCTGCACTCACACTCGCAACATTTTCCAGAGACTGTAGGAGTCAGAAGACGAAGTGGTTCAGTTTGAGTCGACATACTTCTCATGACTTTTTCGGCACCTTCAACCGTTTGGTGTTGATGGCAGCAACTATTTCCAAGAGTGGTTCCGTTTGTTACCCCGCCGTGTGGAGCCATAGCGATAGGCGTCGCATAGAACAACGGGAATCCTGGGAACCCCAAAGGACTGCAAATCGCGTTCGATCCTATCGCTGGATCCCTGGACGTTGCCGCCGCAGCAGCAAACCAAGGGTAGAGTGACGAAGCAGCTGCAGCTGGAATCGCGAGCGTCGGGCCTGCACTCGTAGATGCCACAAAGTTCGATGCAGCTTCTGCCATCGCGCTCACGATTTGGGAGGTCATCGCAGCTTCTGCTGTAACTTGCATAGAACTAGTCGACCTCGGATTTAATGAATCATTGGTGAAATTACTATTTGACAGACAAGGTGATTGGTTGGATCCCATTGAATTATTGGAAACTGGATTTGCAGTTTGGAAGAAGGCTTTCTTTGGCGGAGATACTTCGCTCGGTGAACTATCACACATCGAATTGGATGATCCGATATCGCTCTCTTTTGAAGTCGCATTATCTGTTGATAGATCCAAAGGCTCGTCTTTTGGTGCCATCGGAAAAAGAGGACGTTTTGCACCTGGCAAGGAATTTAGTCTTTCCGGAATGTTTGGTTTATCTTTAGCCATCGATTTCTGGCACTGGAGGTTCATTGGCGAGCTGCACTCGTCAGGAGTCGGCGATACCTGAGCTGGGGACGGGGACGTGGGTTCGGATACCGGAGACAGCGTACTGTTCGTTTGGTTCGTTTCCGACGATGGAACCGCAATAAATTTATACACAAACTTCTGCCCCAGCACTTTTTTGATGAGTCCTTTGTGATAGTAATACCTCAAAGCTCGACTGAGTTTATCATAATTCATGCCTGTTTTGTTTTTTCTCATACCCCACAGCCTTGCCACTTCCTCCGAGTTGTGGAGCTTGAACTCACCGGTACTGTTAATCCAGCTTATGATATGCGCCTTGGAAGGATCGCCCAAGAGTTCCAGAAGAAACTGCCACAACTGAATGTGGGGTCCACCATTCATGTTAGCGGAAGAAACAACTGAAAAGTCTTCGTTTGGAGATGTTCTATTGCAGTCATTACTGTTTTCACTGTTTGCGGGGGTTCCGTTCAAGCTCACAGGTCGTGAAAACTGACTCGATTGTACATTTGCAACAGGAAAAGTGGCGCTATCATTCGATTGCGTCGTCGTTTGTTTCAAGTGCTTCTCAGCTAAGCTTTTGATTACTGATATAAACTCGTGATTCGAGATATTTGGCATAGCCGGGGGTAATTTGGTTACGTTGTTGTTCGAATGGAGACTACTTTTTTGTAGTTCAACTAAACTGCTTGGGTAATTTCTTCCTATCACGTTTGTTGTTTTTAGAGTACCATTGTGAGCGCTACTTGTGGGGTGACCTGCTACAACCTTTTGACTTTTCGGAGTCAGTTCTGCAAAGTTGTTGTTAATCTGGGCTAGAAAATTAGGAATATTTTGGGCGTGTCTTGTCGTCACGAAAACTTGTCCATTAGATGTAGGACACTGAGACTCAACTTGGTTTTGATTCTCGTTAAAATTAGCTTCTGTAACTTTTGTTTTGAGATTATGCGCATTTTCCACGCCTTTCCAGATGTTCTCGTAGTGTTCTGAAATTTCCTGCTTCACGTCCGATCGTGTAAGAGGGGTAGGGTTATTATTTGTCGCGCAGGGAGGAGGTGGTGCTGGGCACTCGGGTACAGCCACCATACAGCTGTCTGCAATTGACTCACTCATTTGAAGTCGCTATTCCAAGAATTATCCCACAATTTTTGGCACCTGAAACAAACCTTAAAGAATAAGTTTGAAATTAAATGTTTAAATAAATATTTAATGTTTGAAAAATAAATATAAAATATTTAACGAATAACAAGGGTTAAAACTTTTGAATTATGTTACATGGGATTTTTATGCCAGGTAAAATAAACAGGGTTCAAGCTAAATATTATCTACAGCAAATTCAGACATAGTTTTTTTAGTCAAATTATCCATTAAATAAATCGCCACCATATAAATAAGTACTGTTTAATTCTACATAATTCTTCTGAAAACTGTTCGAAGCGTTATAAAAATGAAGAAAAAATTAATTACTGCCTTCTTAAATTTTCTCTTAAATAAAAACCGCAAGTCAACTTTAAACACCTATATATTTAAGGATCTAATGATCAGTTACCTGGTATAAATACTAAAACGAAAGATAACAAATTATTGATAAATTTTGTTCGGGGCAATGCTGAACGACGCTGATTATAACTTACGGCTAAGTGAGAGAGATAGAAATAGAAACTAAGGAAGTAAATGGCACAAATTAAGGAAACGAACTCTCAGTGGACTCCAACCAAACCAAATGCAGCAACACTGAATGTGTCGCGATTAAAAATCATCGCATCCGTTTTTTTTGTGCCTTTCCGCTGTTATTCCCGCAAAGTGAAAAAACATGGACAAAGCCACACATCACATTAAGATATCCAAATTTAGAAGAAAATAAGAATAAGAGCGAAGTGAGTCTAAACACTTTCGAATTAGGGAAATCTGAGCAAGGGGAAATAAGTTTTAGTTCAGCCAAATAAGCAAATATACGCTAAATTTTCTTTTCTTTTCGAACCTCATTCGAAAACAGGAAATTACTGATTTCCATTTTTTCAATTTTTGCTACGCCAGGATTAGAAATTCAACTGAGGCGGCTGAGTTTTGAGGTATATAAGTCTTTTGACTTAGCTATCACTTTGAGGCAAAGCGGAAGCGCTGAATTATCTGCAGTAGGAAGTTGATTTTTTTTTCATTTGAAAGAATTAAAAAAAGTATAAAATCCAAGTTGGCTTAAAGGATATAACAATGCAAGGATAACATACATTTAAGTTAAAATTAACTAAATCGCGACGCACAAAAATGGAGAAAGTAAGAAAATATTAGAGAATTTAGGCGGAATTCGGAATTGGACCAAAAAATTAAAATCGGTTCAACACGTGTTGTTGTTGTGGTGAAAAATGAGCGGCGGCGGCAAAAAAGGAAGAACAGGAAATGAGAAATAGGGAAGAGATGAGAATGGAAAGACACGTGAACAAATGGGACAACAGGAAATAAACGAACGAACGACCGAGAGGGAAGGGGTGAGTTGAGTATGAACTCTAATTTTTGTATTTTTATGAAGTGGGGGGTATTATAAATGTCAGTTCCGGTGGCAGAGACCAGTTAAAACTGTAACAATAAGACAACAAAAGAAAGCAAAGCGAGATAATTTTCAATATTTGCTGTTTTAAAATCTCAATTTTTAACCAAAACAAACTGACATTTGCCGACTAGACTAAACAAGTTGAAACTTCTAATTTGAACACTTGGGTTTTATATGTTAATCCCTTTAGTAGCTTTTTTGCACTAAAAAAATTCGCAGTTTTTGTTTTTGAGAAGTTTAGAAAAGCATTGTTAAAATTAATGTCGTTATTGAAAGTATTTAATTGTAATTCGTCATAAATATTGAGAGTAATTAAAAATTATTCACCGTTGGTTAAAAAACCATCCGCTTAAGCCAAATTGCAGCTCTTGATCTGACGTTGTTAGTGTACGGATTGCGACGAAGAAACGCATTACTGGACAACGGCAGAGAAATGAATTATAAATAGGGGAAGGAAGAGAAAAAAGAAAAATTGAAAATGAGCCAAAATGCGAGAGAGGAAGTTGCTTCGCAGCATGTGTTTCCTTCCGCTGCGGTAATTTTGAATAAAACAAACTGTATTTTATTGTTTTTATTGCCTGTGCAATGATAGGCGTACGTCTTCTTACTCCTGATCCTGCTATCCTATCCAAATATAGGATACTATTAGTGTATCAACCAACCCTCCCCTTCTATCATCCAGTGCGTGCTTTTTAAAAAAGCAACCAATTTCATGATCAAAACGTGATTTCTTTCTATCATTTCATTCTCACTTCTAGTCTAAACAAGCGCTCAAGTTGGCGGCAAGATTAGTTTTTCTTCACACGGTTTGGTCCTTCGAGAAAAGTTTGTCGACTTTTTTCTAGCTCACAAATTTCAATTTTCCAAGCATTCTGAAGCCCTACAAGATCTGATACAATCCTCACTATCCAAAAAGCAGACAAATATTGGAGAAATGTTTCGAAATTTTTCACAAAAACGCAATTTTCCGGTGCATGCTCTTCTTACATATGTGGAACACAGAGGAGAAGCGAAGCGACACAACAAAAATGTAGCATGTCAAACTAACCAACAGAAATTGAGACAAAATCTGCAGACAAAACATAGCCAAATTACAGTAGGAAAAGAGTAATAAACGTAAACAAGACTGCTCGTATCAGGGCGAAGCCCTGAATGTTCCGACTGCTTTTGAAGGTTTATGGATCAGCAGTAATAACATAAAAACATTATATGAAATAAAATAAAATGAAAAATTTTTTTTCTAAAATTTGAAATTTTTAATGAAAATCATCCCCCCACACGCCATATAAAGGTACAAAAAGATAGTTTTCGTTCCTTGTAACACATCAATTATGGCAAATAAGCTTCGTTCAACCAATTTGGAACGATTTATAAGACGGATTAAATCTCCGCTTACGCGTTAATAGCGCGAATTATATCGCGCGTTAATTGTCCCAAATTGGTCAAAATGGCCAAAATGGCGATCTTTAAACCCTCATAACTTTACGAAAAATGATCACAGGTGTGAAATATCTTTTCAAATTTAAGCTCAGGACAACAATACCTGTTTAATGATATAAAAAAAATTCCGTCAAAAATGGCTAGTTAAAAAGTCGAAATTTGTCTGAAGAAAAAAAAACCCACCCCGAGCACAAATATTCCGTTACTTTCGTATCGAAATTCGGAACAAAAACAGAAAAAAAACTGACTTGTTTTTTGAAAAAACTTCAACTTGCGAAATTTGAAGAAAAAATATATGCCCTCAAAGCTATTTGAATTTCTCGAACAATTTATGTTTTACCCTTTTTTGATAATGCCAAATGACAAGAGGAAAAAAGTAATGAACGCAATAAAACAAAAAAAACTGACTTGTTTTTTGAAAAAACTTCGACTTGAGAATTTTGAAGAAAAAATATATGCCTCACAGCTGCTTGAATCTCAAACAATTTCTGTTTTATCCTTTTTTGATAAAAATTAACCCAAATTAAGAAAACTGTATCACTAGGCTGCTTAATCTGATAATTAAAATCCATTGACAAAATAAAAAGTCGACGTTTTCGTGACCTTTACATTTTTGCTGTTCGATAGTGGAGTTTGCCTTCCTTTTACAAAGGAAATGGAGTGAACTTATAAAGAAACCAAAAGTCAAACGACGAAAAATCAAAATTGGGCGTGATCAAAATTTAAAACATTTTCCTGAAAAACAGAATAAAATCGCCAAGACATAAATAAGCGTACTCACTATGTTGATTACGCTTAAAAATCGATTTTTTTTTGAAAAATGTCGAAAAAATGATCTACGGAAATTTTCGTATTTTTGTCTCGATTTTGTGTTCATTAAAACTTCTTCAAAGAAAAACAGGCCAAGTAAAACTATTGAATGTTAGTTGATTGTTGAAATGAAACTTGAGAAGCGGTAACAAAGCCGACAACACCGGAGCAGGCACACTTCGAGCCGAAAAAAATTTGAAAATTCAAAAAAAAGTTTTCAAGTCTCCCCACAAAGCATTAAGGAAACAACCTTCGATTTCTCATCAAATGAGTCAAAATGAGGCCACTGATCCGAAATCAAATAAGCTGAAATCTTCAAACTGAATAAAAGAATAAGAGAAAAAAAACGAACAAAAAAACTGATATGCTGAAATCTGAGTTTTTAAAGCCAACATAAAAAACAAACTACGAATAGAATCGGTATTTGAAATGCAGACACACTAAAAATTATCCTGTTAGTTTGCAAAATTGCAAAAATGGAAATGACCATCAATATGAGTCATTCTTTGAACAAACTTATTTACGGGAAAAAAGAAGAGGTGATCACCAATTTGAATCATCCTGCGAACGAAGATATTTGCGGGAAAAGGCATTGTACCCGATTGCAACACCCTGCTAATCGCAAGAGTAATTAGAAAGTGGGTGGGTGACAAAGGATTCTCAATTAGTCATAATGTTCATCGCCTATAAAAGTCTTTCGTCTAACGCGTGCCAAAAACGTACCAATCCCATACAAACAGACTTGGTAAAGATGCTCTTTCTTAAAATTCAGACTGAAAGTGCTCGGCGTTTTCTCTTGAAAATATGACCTAGAGTCTGAAGATTGAAATTTATGAACAAGTAAACCTACGCTTTCCAAGTTACTCGACGATTTAGAAATTCGACTTTTTCAGAATTGAGACTATCAACCAATCGAAAGTTTACACAGCGCTAACCCAATTGCAAGCAAGATATTAATATCGCTTATTATCTTAATCATTCAGCCGCTGAACCAATTTGGGCGTCGCTAAAATGCAAAAAAAAACGTTTTTTTTTCTGTGACTAAGTAGGTTCTAATCACAACTGATTTTGCAAAAAAAAAATATTTGAGAAATAAATATAAACGACAAAAAAGAGCTCTAAAAGTTCAAATAAGAATAGGTAGAAATAAGCCTCGAATTAGTATAACTTCTGCTATGTATCGGATTCGAACCTAGGACCGCGATATTTGGATTCTCAATTGCATGATCCAGCGCCACGAGCCATTAAAAATTGACGAACACTAGCCACCAATGATGCAGCTATAAAAGCGAAAAAATTCCCAAAGCATATCAGAAAAAATACCACCAAACATAAATAAAATTAGTGCTAAGTACGGCACTGAACCTCAGACAGGTAGCCTAAGAATCTAACGTTGTTCGCTCTCAGTCACTGATGCTTGACTAACTGCAAATTACAGGCCACCAATGAAGCAGAGAGCAAATGATAGGAAATTTTCACTGCTACAGACACTGATTATTGCAAGAGCGCCACAAATGAGCTCTTTTTTGAGAGTAAAGTTGGACACAGAGGCAAAGGTGCACTTCGCACCACTTGCGATGCAAAACAAGAAAGCCGAAAGTCAGAAAGAAACCGAAAACTAGATCTATCAAAATGAATACGGCCAAAATTGAAACAAAAATATTCCAAGACAACAGAAGGTGAAAATAGCATCGGAAGAAAAATTACCAAGCGATTACAAAGCCAAGAATATCTTAGCAGAAACCCTCTAAACCAAAAAAACCATGCACAGAACCCCTTAAAGTCGAAAAAAAATTCAACGAGACGTAAGACTTACACACATTATAGAAGTCGCTTTTACTCTCTAAACACACATAAGCAGAAGTTTATTTGCTCATCAAATCAAACAAAATGAGGCCACTAAGACGATATAAAATAGGCCGATACCTATAAACCTGAAAAAAGAAAATTAAAAAGAGCAAAAATGCCAAAAAAAAAATTCAAGGAAATCTCGACAAAAAAATATTAAGTCCCCCTCACTCTTAAAACATACACACAAGCACGCACACACACACACGCACGCACACACACACACGCACACACACACACGCACACAAGTTTGAGACACAATATGAGGCCATTAGGCCAATATAATATAGGCCGAAACCTATCAAGCAGAAAAAAAAGAGGACAAAAACATAAGCAGACAGATGATCAGCCGACATTTTTTTTTGAAATGAAATATTTCCCGTTTGAAAAAAAAACAATTCCTGTCAAATTCTAGCCGAGGATCTTTGCCGTCCTAGGCGTATTCGTTACCTCCAGACCAAGTGTGCTGGATACGCAAAAACATGAATTCATTATGAACTGAACCTAAGCTTACCATTTCTAGTTTTGACCATTCTGTGAACAACGTTATATACGGGAAAATCGCAAGCGTAAATAAACAGTAGATTCATATTAATACACTAAGCTCGCCTGGTACAAAATACTTTGGGTAAAACAAAGAAAAAAACGAAAAAAAAATCACTGACAACTTACTAACCAAAAGAAAATGACAAAATTCTCAATGAACAAGGAAACCAAGAAAAAAGATTCTGAAATAAAAAAAACAACGAAACAAAAAAATGAGTTTGAATTTAACTTTAAAAAAATAATTAGAAGTCAAACCGCGAAAAACCATTTTTTTCGGAAAAAATGAAAATAAAAAAACAACACGGCCTAAATAAGTGTCTTCACTTCGTTCATTGACACTGAATTACCTAACTCACTACTCTGTAAGGGACATTAGACTCGATCGTTGTGATGCATCATTTTAAAAGTTATTTCATCACCAGTCAGTCTACACAGATTATTTATTTTGAAGAACAAATAGCTTTAAAAATACGATATTATTCTTCACACAAATAATATTGATACCAGAAATGCTTTGCTTCCCAAGCAGCTTTCGCTGCTCCAAACGCAGTAACTGTATAAATTTCTTGGAAGTTCGACGATCAAAAAACTTGTCCTCAGTCTTAATATAAGAAACACAACTGAATAATGATAGCCTTCTTCTGATCTAGAATAGAGTTCTAATAGTTTTCGGAGAAACGGATTTTCAAGATTAATTTTTTCTTCATTTTTTAAGAAAGCCAGTCAAAAAAGTTTAAACGCTGTTGAATCATGACTTAAAACGCATCGCCCTTTATGAAATCTATTCATTTATAATTTTTGTTCTGGGATGAAAATTGGAATTCGGGTGTTAAACTAGAATTATAAATGGAGCCCGAGAATGCTTGTCAAAAAAAG